CCATAAGACAGCTTATTTTATGTGTTTTCCTCCAAACCAGTTTATCCAAAATGGTACACAGAAAGGTCAATTTTTTAAATATTGATTTACTAGGATGAGGCCATGCAAGAGCTGTTGATATGACAGTTATTCCTGTTCCATGAATCTCAACCATAGTATTGCTGACTTTTTCTATCATTATTATTTCAGATGCCCAATATTACATTTAAATAAATTCATTAACTTCATTGGGGCTTTTCACATGAATAGCATCACATGTCTGAATTCTTAGTTGCTAACTGGTTGTGTCCTTTTCTTTTCAACATAGCGCAAAACTTCTAGGTACTTAAGAATATTATTTTATTTATTTATGTATCTATTTGCTTGTTTATTTATTTTTAATTACCAAAGTGTGACTGAGAAGTCTTAACAAAAATAAATGAACAAGACATCAAACTCTGAGAGCTACTGAAGTTACTGAAAGGGATCCCACTGACTTCAGTGGGCCTTGGAATGAGCCAAGAATTCTGCACTTACCCTACAACTACACTGTGGAGCTATTTTGGGATATCTCAGCTATCCTGAAATAGCTATTCCTCATCTTAAAAGCAAGCCCATTATATCAAAATATAATGGGCTTGCTATTCCGACATCCCTGTAAACCTCATTGCATGCGGGTTAAGGGAAATTTCAAAATAAGCTATTTCAAGGTAAGGGTGCTGTGTAGATGCACCCTAAGTGTCAAACAAGTTTAAAGTTCTCCACTCTACATTCAAAGGGAAGTGTAAAACTATTTTAAACTGGACAATCCTTTCCTAATCTGTGAGATTATTTTTGGCTATAAAAAGGTATATTAATTATATATCTATAGTGTATGGTCATAGATGTAACTCAAGGGTATGTCTACACTTGCTCCCTATCTCAAGGATAGGGATGCAAATGTAGTGTACCAAAATTGCTAATGAAGCACGGGATTTCGAGAGAAAACCCTTCTCTCAAAATAACTGTTAAACCTCATTGTATGAGGAGTAACAGTTTTTTGAGAGAAGGGTTTTCTCTCAAAATAACGCTCCTACATGGGACTTTTTATTTCGCAATAACGTGATTTCAAAATGGTGTCAGGACACGATTATGCTAATTAAGCATGGGCTATTTAAATCCCGTGCTTCATTAGCAATTTTGGTACACTACATTTGCATCCCTATCTCGAGATAGGGAGCAAGGGTAGACGTACCCAAAGTGTGTATTCATGTAGGTTTTACAGCTTTAATAAAGGGATTTATACCTCTGATAATCTAAAAGGGAATGTGAACTCCCAACAGCTGCTGCTGCCTATAGCCTCCAACTTTTACCTGTGGTGTAGTATAAATATGATATGATTACTTAAAGTATTAAAACAATAATTTTATATTCGTTATCAGGGCTCGCCAAGCCGCAGCAAGCCCCGCTCGCCAGCCGCGCTGTCCAGCGTTCTGCGCATGCGCAGTTCTCACGAACCCGGCTCTTAGGTTGCTGTCCAGCGTTCTGCGCATGCGCAGTCCTCACAAACCCGGCTCTTAGATCACATAGATTGTTGAGCCCTGTTCATTATGATGGAAAGCATGAGTTCACTATCCTGAACATATTGCATATATAACATATAGTTTCATATAGCAAGTGTTACCACCTTTATAAATGATGTTTTATGATCTAATAATTCAGCAGCAGCAAGCACATCCAGTAGATACACTCTAGGTTCAGACCTTGATCATACACGTCACTTCATTGGGGATCTTGTGGGTGAAAGGTGCACGAGCGACACATGGCTGGACTGGAAACCTAGTTTCCACCTGTAGTAGCCTGAGCCGTGGGGGAAAGACAACTTTTGGGGCCTTACTACCCTTAATAAGAAGCAGATTCTGCTTTGGAGGATAAGGTGGTGGGGATGCAGGGCACTGATCTATCACTGAAGCCCCCCTCTGGTGATAACTTAAAAAATATCAAACCTAACGCCAGCTGTTCAAGGGGTGTATTAATTAAAAGAAGAGTGTCTTATAAATGAGCAGTCTGCTTTCTAGTGGCTTCTATAGCTTTTCCTTCTCGGAAATATATTATTTCTTGGCCTGCAAAGTGATATTAGGTGATAATGTAGTTTTGCACTTATCTGGTACTTTTAAAAAAAAAGTTCAAAACACAATTTCAATTTACAAAAACACCAAGAATTTGAAGGACTCTTGGGGTGCGTCTACATAGCAGTGTTATTTAAATAACTGACATTATTCCGAAGTAACACAGTCTGCATCTACACAATAAAATGTCAAAATAATGTTGAGCTGGCGGACTTCTTATTCCGACTCCTGTAACCCTCATTGTACGAGGAATAAGGCAAGTTGGAGGTAGAGTACTCTTTCTCGGGCTTCCTGCTTTGTAGACAGCTATTTTGACTTAAGCTACACAACTGACGTAGCTCAAGTTGCGTAACTTATTTCAGCTTTAGCCCTGCTGTGTAGGAGGGAAGGAGATTTTGTTGTCTAATTGTATTTTTAATGTGACTACCTTAATTAATTTAGTTTCAAAATCCATCCAGCTAGACTATGTGTAACAGAAGCCATTGGGACTTGTGTGGCACATACTTTTAAAATGTGTGTATATACATTAGGAAATGAGATAGCAGACAAGTGTGGTGGCTTCCCCAAGAAAGTGGCTCATGACACTGATACTTCCCTTTCATATATCCAGTGCCTCCAGGGACCTAATGGATGAGTGTTTCAGCAAGTGTAGCTACGCTGAAGTCTAAGAGATATTCTGATTTACACAAGCAGAGGCTCTAGCTCTTCATTTTTAATTTTCTTCTGGCCAACTTCTAGAGCCTGCCATGTATAGAATTAATATAGATTTTTCACCACATAAGGAAAATAAAGTAGCTTCACTGATGAAATTCATGACTTTATGTAAAAAGAAAAAAATCTTCCCTCTATACATACCACACTTTTCATTTCTATTGCTGATCTACCTTAAACAGCACTCATGTCTTTCATAGAACCATTATCTGTCCCACATCTAAGGATGTGTCTACAATGTACCGTTATTTCCAGATAACTAGTGCTATTTCAAAATAACAATGTGAGCATCTACACAACTTTTCTGTTATTTTGAAATAATTTCAAAATAATGGATCGCTTATTCTGAAATCTGTAAACCTCAGTCTACAAGGAATAATGTCTATTCTGAAAGAGTCATTTCAAAATAAGGCTGTGTAGATCCTTCACTGCTGCCATTTCAAAATAGCCCCTCACCAGGGCCATTCTAAGATATTCCTCCCCTGTGCCTTCTGGGGCTCTAAATTGACATAGCACATTTATATTAAGGAAGCCTGCTTTGGAATAATTTTGAGGCTTCCCTGCAGTGTAGACATGCTATTTTGAAATAAGCTATTTCAGAGTAACTATTCTGAAAGAGCTTATTTTGAAATAACCATGCAGTGTACACGTACCCCAAAAGGGGCGGGGGCTTTTAACGTATTATTTATTGCATATTTCTCCCTAATGAGAGGTCACCTTTCCTCTACCTATAACTTACAGAATATCAGCAGGAGGCTTTCTTCTTCAAACAAAGTAAATAATAACACCAACTGAAATTGTTCCATATAGAAGAAGAATCCTGACTCCTGACTGGCTGCAAACAGTCACAAATGGAGGAAGTTTCTAACATTTACCTCATCTAAAGTCAGTAGCATTGTGTGGTTTGTGGTTTGAAACGAGGTTAGCTAATTAGCTCACATAAAAATGAGGGTATCTTGACTGGCCACTGCCAAGTTCAGTGAAAACCGTGTCCTTCTTTTCATTGAATGAGATAGCATGTGCATTTTCTCCCATCTTGGACTCATCAGTGTAAAGTCTTTTTTCCCCTCTTGGACATCTAATTTCTTTTTTTCCTTCTTCTACTAGAATGCTAGTTTCAAATGAAAAAACAGTTTCATTTTACAACTACTGGCTACAATGGAAAGCTTTCTACACAAATTCTGAGACGTATTCAGAATGTATTTAATATACACACGCTGAGACCCTCAGCTAGTGTAAACCAACATTGTTACCTTGAGTTCACTGGAGCTATTCCAATTTATACCAATGAAGATAGCCCACAATAACTACCAGTTTCTGTGAACTGATTGACCCTCAAGAAAATAATCTAGTCTGCTTTATTCTTCTCAGTGCCTACCAACTAGCAGAGCTGGTTGAAAAATTCATTGGAATTTTGTTTCAGCAAGAATTTTGTATTTACACACACATATGCCTGTACTCACTGTCACTGTCTCTGGAAGTTTCATGTACTCTAAACATCCAATTTTCCCAAGAGCTGAGAATTCACAGCTCCTATTCACTTCACTAGAACTGAAGATATCCTACATCTCTAAAAACCTGCTCATAAATGTACAAGACGACTATAACTAGCGTTGAGTAAGCAAAGATTTACTACTCAGATTGCTAAATTTGAACTTCATGATGCTGCATATTGCAAAAAGAGTCCATTTAAACTTCTGTTGAATATGCTGGTGCTTAAATGCTATAGGGCATGTCTATACCATGCTATAGGGCATGTCTATACCATGCTATAGGACATGTCTATGCCAACCCTTATATCGTCAAAACTCTTGCCAAGCAATAAAAGTTTTGATGGCAGAAGCACTTGTATGTACAGCATTATGCCAATGAGAGACTTACTCCCGCTGACATAGCTATCACTGCCCATTGAGTTGGTTTTATTATATTGATGGGAGAGCTCTCTTCCATCAGCATAATACATCTTGTAAGATAGCACTAGTAGATATGGGCTTAGTGATAAGCACCATAGAAATGCCAGAGAGAAACAAGCATGTAGTACTCACACATACACCCCTTGTAATCTCCTCCTTTGCATGTTCCTTTTCTTGCCGCAGGTCCAGGACAATTAATGCTCTTTAGCCATAATTTAGTTTTCCCCAGGTAATATATATCCATCCACTAATATGCATTAAATCCAGTAATACATGACTGATTACTCACCTCATCAACCTGAGGTTCTTGAGCTTGAGCAGCATTGGGCACAGGGGAATCACAATCTGGGCTATAGTGCTCACAATAGTCATATGCTGCTCTGGGATCAGCTACAATCAACAGCTGCTGGATATCACCCTGCATATCAGCAAAAACAGATTAAGTTAACAACAAATATCAGCATTTCTGGTTACAAAACAAAACAGGAGGGGTAAAGTATATGTCAGATGTTTCGTTATATTCATCCCATATGACATTTATAGGTGACTTAATTTCAATTTAGACTTTTTTGCCATTAATCTCAGTGAGGCTTGGAGTGCATTCTAGAATTTTGTAACAGTCATTTTTAAATTTGTTTTCTTCCTCTTGTTTTTTAATGTTCAGTTTTCCAGTCATTGAGCAAAAACATGCAATGTAAGCGAAAGTTACATCCCACTAATCATAACGTAATCAAGCGAAACAATTTGCAAATAATCAGTAATCCACACACTGTATCAAAATCAACTTATTGTCAACATAACATCTGTTTCTTGGAACTCTAAAATAGAGGACATGGTCTTGTGGTCTTGTTTGGTGCCACTAAATACATACATCTCCCACAACTGTTAATGGGACTCAACAATGCATTTTAAAGGCAGGGTAAAATTGCTATAATATCTGTAAAATCATTAAGAAATATATTCTCAACTTATTAGGAATTGATCTTCTTTTAATACCATTGAGCAAATAAAGCTCCTCTTTAATGTTTTAATCTAATTTTTTACACTTTAATTAAAATTCATCATTGGTCCTGCCACTCCTCCCCAATTAGAATATAGTTCAATAATCAACCAGAGAAAATGGGTATACAATAGTTTTCCAGGCTTAAGATTTCTTGACTTAATTACATTTATGTATATGTATTGCTTCTGTTATTCTAAATGAATGCTTTACCAAATATTGTGGGTCAGATTTAAGACCTACGTTTATTATATCAACTGAACTAGCTGTAATCTTTGTTTGAATATGAAGTGAGGGGGCTGGAAAGGTACAACTCCTGCAGTATCATTTTCATGCAGTTTCCATAGCTGGTTAGTGGGAACAACTAGTCTAAATTCCTAGGATTTAATTCAGGGAACTTCCTACTGCCAGCATGAAGCTCAGAATGCAAGTGATCAGCACTGCAATTCTAAGAGTTTCATCATAACTATGCTACAAAATGGAGAAGCGGGAGGCAGATGAAATCAACCCCAACCATGGGTCTTTTTCAATGAGAAATGGAACTACAATTAGTGATATGCAAAAATACAATATGGAATGTATCAAAACAAACATTCTACTGGTTAACACAGAATGTTATTTTCTTACCTATCTTTAAGTATAATGTGTAAAATCAACATCATGCCAGAAAACATCCACTACTCTGGATAGCAAAAATAGCATTGGTGAAAGCCTGCATAAGAATCATTTTGATCATTTTTCATGGCAAGCTTTCTGATTTCCTAGTTTACTTCTTAATGTACTGACACGATTTAAACTACTTAAACAAAATTTGTCAACATTTCCACTATTAAATTCCAATTTTCATACATTTATTATTTAGGCATAAATACAAACTTACTGAAATTTATCATAAGTTCTAGATTAAATACCATGAGTGCATTTATTTCCTGGAAGAAAATGTCGGGGCTTTTGTGCTTCTATTTCTTGATATTTTTAAATGTGTACATTAACAACATCATTTTATTCAGTTTTTATAAAAATGAATAAAAAATCCCATACTGGTTTGCTTTTGCACCTTTTTGTCAGTAAATAACGAAAAAGAAATAAACAATGACAATGCAAAATTTACAATCTGTGAAAATGCATATATCTCAAAGTTTCCATGTACATATTTTTGACTAAATTAACAACATTGTGTGGTACTGTTTCCATATAAAATACAAAATTACTGAAAGTAAATCCTCAAAATCCCTTCAGCTCTTCTTATAACTTTAAAAAAAGCTTTGGTTTGCTACAATATTTATCAAAGCTTTTAATATATTTATATAGTAAAATGCAAATTATGTAATATACTATCTGAGCCGATAGATTTAGTTAATTGGCAACAGCTGAACATGCACCTCTAATCTGTGCACTTTTTAATGAAAAAAGTTTTATTCGGTGAAACTATATTGCATTAACTTTATAAGCTGTCAGGTCAGTTGTCAGAATAATACTATAAATATTGTTAAAAGTATACTGGTAGATTCCCCAGTCTAGCAAAGAGACTTGTGACCTCTCATCCCAGATATGTTATTAATCCTCTAACATGATAGAAGATAAGACTCCTAATTTCTGTGCCTCACTTTAACTGTCTGAATGATGGGTCTATTAATGTTTCTTGATCTTTGTAATGTACTTTGAGATCCACATATGAAAAATATTATATATTATATATGTTATATATTATATATATTATAATTATATGTGTGTTAATTATTTATCAAAATTATTTTTAAGGTAAACCCCTGGGTGCAACTTATACCTGTGAGTGGCTGTGTCTAGTCAGTGTATGATTACTGCTTGGAGATTCCATTACTAGGTGTTCCTGGAAAGAGTAAACAGTTGTTCTTATACCCTGCTGCTGCTCCTGTTTTGCCTCAGCCAGATCAATACTGAATGAGTGAAAGAAGGAGCAAGCTAAAGGGAGAAAGCAACCAAAGGAGCCAGTAAACACATTTCCTTTAGTGGTTTGTGATAGGATGTAAAGCTGGTTTTGTTTATATATTACTGTGTGTGCTGGAAACACTATTCAGACTCACAGTTCCACTTATTACTGAACAGATGGCACCACAGATTGGGCAACAAACCATTCCAACCTACAAACTCAGACCCCACATGCACATTCATTTACTATTTCATCTGGCATCTATAATCCAAACACCTTAGTATCATTATAGTAAACAGATTTGGGTGATATTTTATAGTTGTTTATCTGACAAATATACACTCTTTATCTTTTTGAGAATTACCCAGAAGGAAACTTTGATTTGCATTCCTTCATTGAATGTAAATGTTTGTCTTTATGAAAACATCTGGTAGCCATGTGAACAATCTATAAGTATTCTATTTTCCTATGCTTTCAAACCAAAGTCCCTAAAGTTTGTCTCCTAATGGTCTCATTTTCAGAATTGGCTGAGTAGCCATAATTCTATTTGAAGTTAACATAAGATATGGGTCATTAACATTTCTGGAAATCAGACTCTATACGTAGGCAACTAAATGATCTCTGTGTTATTCCATCTCTGAATACAATTTTCAGGACAAAAGGTGAGTATCATAGAATAAGAATATGAGAAAGCGCGCAAGAGAAAAGAGCTACAGAAAGAGTTACAGAAATAAAAGGAAATGTACCAACCCATGTACAAACCTCCTGCTTCAGCAGGGAGGGCAAAGGCTGAACTGCACAGTGTGTTTAGTTGTATCTAAAAGAAGTTTAGATGAGTTAAACATTTAATATGGGTCCACAGTAAAGGATGCAGAGTTTACTGAGACAGACAATATGGTTGCTCTATGCCATTGAGATTCTCATTCCATTTAACAGTTTGAGTGGCACTAAAGTCACATTTGTGCATAAGTTTCTTCACAATTTGAGCTCATTGCTTTAATTAAGGCAATTCCATCCATGAAAGGACATACAGATGATATGTAAGAATATTTTCAACTCGAGAATTTTGGGGTCTTTGTTGAACCAGGCCTCCCTTCCCTCTTCATACAGGATCTGATCTTAGAAATGGATAGAGGGTGGCATGAGGACTGTTTTAGTTTGTGTCAATAATGCTACAATTTTATATAAATTTTCAAATGCTAAATGGCATAGCCCCGATCATATTATAACACTCCAGTTCAGCAAGGCACTTAAGAATGTGCACAACTTGAAACACACAATAGCTCCCTTGAACTGAATAGGATTACAGACATGTTTACAGTTAGGCATAGTCTTAAATAATTTGCTGAATTAGGGCCTATGTCAGTATCAGAATCTGTGCCTCATGTGTTATGTCACAGTAGTTGATTAATTCATCTCCAATGACCCTCAAATCTATAGTGGGAATAATGGTACTTACATGACTGTGAACATCTTAATACCTTTGTATTTTGGGATTTGGTTTGGACCTGTCCCAGCCAGGCCACAAGCACTGAATCTGATCTGAGGCTCACAGAAGTAAACAGAAGTGGTCTTTGAATAAGCTCATAGTCACATATTGGAAAACTAAGATACAGTGCGGTACCTGGACGGCACTATGATCTAAGGGATAGGACAAAATACTAAAAGTCAATGGACGACGATTCCAATCCTGATTCTGATAATGAATTTTTCTATCACCTGTGTAACATCACTTAACCCCTCTAACCTCTATTTCCTTCTATGTGAAATAAGGATATTGGTATTCATTTACTAATATGATTTGCAATCTGATCAATAAGTGCACCTTATCATTGAAGTCAGTCAGTGGTAAAGATGTCAATAAATAAAGAAGCTTCTCATTCCCAACCCTATGTTTAGTCCATATGACCTTTGGGGTCTCTACTTCTTAATTAAAAGATAACCCAATACCTATATATTTAAGAATATTTTGCACAAAATATCAGATACAATTTTTCATTTTTAACTGCTCTAATTTCATTCTGGGTTTGCAAACTCAAAAATAGGCAAATCTTAACCAAAATATTACCTAATGTAGCTGTTTCACCTAGCTCTCTAGAACATTGTGTTTCAGAAAAGTAGCAGTGGCCATCTTTCCCGTGATCCCATCCCACAGGTCTCAGATAGCTTCAGGCAGCAGCCACACAAGGTAACTCCTGACCTGATGCCCTGCCAGAACTGGTTCCAGCTGACCTTAAATGCGATTCAGCATCATATCAGTGTGGATACTCTATTTTGAAATAATAAAATGCTATTTCAAAATGCATTTTGTATCTAGATGTGTTATTTTGAAATAAGCTATTTCAAAATAACCCTGTAGTGTAGACATACCCATAGGGGTTATTAATATAGTCATACATTATTAAGTAGCATTGCAAGCATTGTTCCATTTATTCACCTCAGTGAAATAAAAATAAAATGAGACCCACTCGCTACAATATTGCCCTCCCATGTTCTGAGGGTGGTGGAC